AATAGCAAATGAGTTTGGTTATGTGAAATCTAGGCGGTTGGCGCTGCAGGCAGATTCCAAAAATGACAGTTTATGGAGGTGTTTCGTCTCGTCTGTCTATCTGCTTTAATTTGATGATAACTTTTTCTTTTATAGTTGATAATCAAATTATAGTGATAAACTATAATATCTGTGATCGTTTGGGGGCTGTTTCGACTTTTATTTAAGGGACGAAGTGTTAAATCGAGTTGTTTCCGACTTTTATGTAGGGGATGAACCCATTAGTGTTTAATGATAAAAAAAAAATTATATTCACAGTTGTTCCCATACGCTGAAGGGAATTTTGTTCAGAGAACGATTTTATGTTTAAATTATATATTTCTGGAATATGTTTTCAAAAGGTTTAAATCTTTTTTTCCTGCAGTAAACAAAAATTTTCCATTATTTTCTGTCGTATCATATCGTTTATTACGTAATGGTGTTTTAATGTCATTTTTAAAAGTAATTTCAATTATCATAATTCAGTTTATAGATATGATAAATATTTGCCTCAATCCTTGTATAATTCATACAAAAGGATATACTTTAAGCCTGAACTTTATAATTCTTTCAAATGTGTCACGTGATACTTTAAGCCTGAACTTTTCGTGACAGATTCAATTATTTTATTAGAATTGTAAATGCACAACAGTGCCTCGTTTTACCGTAATTTTTCATATGTATGCGATTGTTCAGAAACGTTAGAAACACGATCTACAATATCGGCTAAATAAAGATGTTTTCTTCAGATAAAAATCATAAAAAATGATAATGCACTCTTACTTTCCCGCCATGGGCACAATAACTTATTGTAAAAGTTTTTTTTGTGCTTCAAATTTCCCTGTGTAAAAAACCTCAGAAAAGCAGCAAAATCGAACTCGTGACAGTAGTCTTGTCTCGGAGCGACCCCTATTGTTAGAAACGAATTCCCGAGCGATTTGTCGTTGACAAGATAAATAGACGGTGTGGTAAAGGTGGAAAGAATATGCTTAAATGATGAGAAAAATAAATTACTTAGTCTCACAGGAGTTATAAAATGAAAACGAAATATTAAGAATTGATTTAGACGTCTATTTTTAGTATAAATATGCAGCAATATTAGAGAACTTCAGACTAGTTAGGGTACAGACAGTGTTTTTTTTTTTTGTAAATTTGATACATGTCAAAAATGATCTTTATATGTTTTAAGATAAAGTTTTATTCTGTCAAAATTGAGGTTTTATATAACACGCTGATAAAAGCATATATAACTAAATTCAAGTTTAATTAATTTAAACATCAAGTACGTTTTGCCCTTTATTAAGATTAGATTATTAAGATATTTAAAAACCACAAAGATAACAGAAAAGTGAAATAGGTACCAGTCAAAAGAGATCTAAGAGACTCACAATCTTTTATTTAAGGAAGTAATTAAACCGACATTTTTTGTGCTTTTATGTCATATCATATGAAAAGAAAAATATTTTTGATTTCACCCAAAAAAGCCATCGTCGGTTTTTTTTTTATTATGCTGTTTGTATATTTCAAAAATGATTAACGTGAAATTGAGAGTGTTAAAAAATGTTTCGCGACAAAACCCAATTCAACATGTATTCAAGTCTCGTCTCTCATGAATCAGTGGTAAACTTAAAATAAAAGAAAAACGCACAAACAATCAAATAGAGAAATGTACAATTCAAACGGAGTTTGATTATTCAGAGAAAAGAAACTATAATGTAAAAGAATAAGTAAAAGGTATTTCTGAGTTAAAGGTCATTTCAAAACTATTTAAGAAAACAATTGGCAATATTTTACATAATATATACAAATAGAAATAGACTCGACAAAGGTACTGGTTGGATCAGTGCAGTTTAAAATAAAGTCCTGAAAAACCGCATCATTAACAAAATTGTACAAAAAAATTGACTTATATACAATGCATTATTTATGATTTTGTTAAAATGCAACGTGTGCATTTTACGGGTATTATTTGAACAAAACACCGACATCAAAATGTTTATAGTATGCAATTGTAACTTTGTCAAATTTAGATACAATTAAAAAAGCCGAACTGATACCTTATCCCTCATTAAAACAAATTTTGATAATAATTTCTTTAAAATAAAAGTATGACGAATTTGAACTATACAAAAAGTGAAAAAAACTACAATATTTTGTAATTAATAATCATATTAATAATTTGTTTAATTTGATATTTACTTTTCCTTATACACAAGCAATGTCGAGAAGCTATTTAATATATAATTTGAAGTCATTTCCACAAAACGAGGGAAGTTTTAATCTATCGGTTATCTTTCTAATTTAATTAATGACCAGAATAAACACAAAAATAGTTTCAGTATTAAGGGTGAAAGGGTTTTAATAATGCATAATGTTTTAGAAATATTGGAGTTTGTGGGAACACCATAGTTAACTGCGAAGCTGTCCTAATATGATTGATGGGGTAGCCATTTCCAGGAAAACTGTTTTCCAATAGAAATAAATTGGATTTGTTTTTACCAGCACCGGACTTTTTCTGGACTTTATTCTGGATTTATTTTCACATCCACATCATTTGAAATCTGGTGGAAAGTCGTCTCATTGGTAACCATACCAACTCTCCTTACTTTTATATTTAATTCGGTTATTTATTCAATAATTATTTTTTAGAAACGTAAAAGAAAAAGCGCAATTTTACATATTTACTGTTTGTAATGCAAGTCAATGTTTTTGAAACATTGTTAATTAAAAATTCTTTTTAATCATAAATTATCATACTGTCTAAATGAACATTAAATACTAATATTTGTCAATAAATGCTTTGAAGTTGTATTGAATTGTAGAAAGATAAAGTTACTGACATATCTGGTCCCTTCATCGTTCTTATTTATTATGAACTTTATTGCATAATAGATGCGTGAGACTTTTAGGATAGATTACATGTAAAAACTGTAAAATGCGACGAACAATATTTTTTTGTAATTAACTTAAATATTAATTGGTATCATTTAACCTACTAACAGACAATTAATTATGAAAATAATTAAAGGGGAAGACTCATTTAACAGCTGCACCCAAAAATGCACATCACCTGTTCGGCATTATCTCTTCTCTTTTCGATAAGTAATTTAATATCCGAATGTCAAGAAGAATTGTTGTGTTTTTTACAAGAATGACAACTGATTAACATTGTTCGAACAAAGAAAAATATCTCTAACCGATTTCCACATACCATGTCTTTTTGTAAAATTAGTTTCGTTTGAGAATTCTACTGAAAGTTATCGAGATGTTTTGACATCTTCAGTCTTTGAGGAATTTGTGATTCAGGGAAAATAAATCCAATTCCGGTATAACGCGACACTTGACATGTGCATTATGGTCTATCGAGAGGTTTGGGTTGCATAAAAAATGGAACACTTGCCAAAGATGTCATATTGGAGAAAGTTGCTGCGAGAAACATTCAAAATCAATGTTTTCTTTTACTCAAAACTGTCACTTTTACAGTGCTTTGACATGCGTAGGTTTAATTTTCCTCTGGTGAGGTCGCTTTTGTTTTTCGTTTTATTTATCTTAGAATGTTGATGGACAATTCAGAAAGGTGTCTATTGTTAAAAAAATTTGTGAAGACTTTGATTGGACTCCTAGATAAAGTCATCGTACTTTCTTTATAAGTGAAAATATTACAAAAATGTAAACCTCTTTTACAGAAATTACATTGTGTAATAAAAATCAAGCGCAAAACCTACAATGAAAAATTCAGTGTTACTCTGAAATTAGCTCGTATTTTGATACCGTTTCAGATTCTAACGTTTAAAATTGTACAAGTTCTCAAACAAACGCTTGAAAAAATAACAGTGTGGTTTCCAAAATGAAAAATGGCTTTTCTAGGTGTTATAATAGTTGTAAATGACATCTCTTTTTCCTTGTAATTACAAAAAATTATCGGTTTATAGAGACAGAACATTTATCATAAAAACTGCCCGTCTCAGTCCGGTGTGAAATCAGTCGCGTCCAGCTCACTTGTATGAGGCTAAACATTACAATTTTTATTGTTTATTCACATGATAAACTGTACTGTATAATACGGCGATCATTTGTCAAATTATTTCGTACCTGTAGGTAAATTTTTAAAACAAATCGTGAAAAATTGGTTACTATGATCGTTTTTCTTAATATTTGAAATTGAAGGAAGATGGATATCCTTTGAAAATTTAAAACCCATTTTAAAATTTAAAATATTTTCGTGTTGTTTAATTTAAACTATTAAATGAATAGTATATTATTAAGACAAATAACTATCGAAATAAAAATCAGATATCTGGTTTTTTCCGAAAATCCATCCTTTTTCAGATTTTGTTCATGGATATTATATAATTTTTTTTATTTTTCATAAGTCTTTTTAAGTAATTATTTTGTTTTTTTAAATATTTTTTAACCCTCTTTAAATCTTACACAATTGTTTAACCAACATAACAGTTTTGTTAAATGTAAATATTTAAATATAAGTACTGTTGTTTGCCTTTTCGTCGTTTTTCTATTGTTTGTCATGTCATTGTCATGCAGTTTGTTTTCGACTTATGAGTTTTAATATTCCCTTGGTATCTTTGGCGTCTCTTTTACGTGAATTTAAAGTATTAAATTATATATATTTTACCTCAATAAAACTGTGATTATTTGTTTAAAAACGAAATCGATTACAGGTCAGCTGAATATTCATTAAAGCATTATTTATACAAACTGGTTTGATGCTATTCGGCAAGGTACAGCTATTGCTTAACATTACTAGTATGAAAAGTGTATAGCAAATTGAACAAAACAAAAATTAAATTAACCATTAAGTAAGAAGGTACCTGTAATCCTAACGTCCTTTTTAAATATATGTTTAGAACCCAGTATCTATAAACATGTACTAGTACTTTACAACTGGAACGGAAAATGCTGTTTCATTTCATCAGAAGTTGAAAGTTTTTTTTATTCTAAAGTTTCTTTTTGTCTTATTACAGGTACAACAAAAGCAGCAACTGATTTTGGATATTCCCCTACAACTACGTCATCAGCAGCCTCGCAACCAAACATGGGAAGGACAAACTTTACAAACAAACAATTAACAGAATTAGAAAAAGAATTCCACTTTAACAAATATCTTACTAGAGCAAGACGGATAGAGATTGCAGCTTCCTTAGGACTAAATGAAACACAAGTGAAAATTTGGTTTCAAAACAGGAGAATGAAACAAAAGAAACGCATGAAAGAAGCAGCATTCGAAAGTTCTATTAAAGATGGCTGTCAAATTAGTTTAGATGGACTTTCAATGACAGCAATGGGTTTATGTCAGGACAGTCGATAAATTGATTAATTGCATGGTAAAAACTTTACTTTTTTCCTGATATCTGTCTAAATGGCGGGTTAATTCACCCAGTTTATTTCAAATCGGATTGGTTCGTGACTTAGTCACTATCAGATGTACACGTTGTTTTAGCAGAAGTACAAAGAAAAAGGCGAACCAGGATAAAAAGTACAAATTGGAATCATTTTCGAAAGAATAAATTGTTTGGATTGTTTTCTTTTCATATCTGCATAGCGACAATGCCTACAAATACAGACCATCTGGACGATAACAATTAGTGCTTTTTATTGTCGAAGGGAGATAATTCGTTTTATATTTAAGTCTTCAAGCAACAATATTTATTTTTGTCTCATAAACGTAAATGATTGAATGGCACATAGTTATACTATTGTCAACATTCCATAAATGAAGGAATCCATTTTCGTGAACTATTTCAGACGGCGTTATGATAACTTGGCAAGTTGGTGCTCGTTTCAGTGTGACTTTGCGATTTTGTTTTGTTTTCTATTACTATGTTAAATGTTTGTATGCTCGTGATTGTGTTCGTACTGTACAAATGATGCTCAATCTTTAAATAGTTATTTATAACATTGAAAATTTATAAAACAGTTGAACATGAAATGTCATTGTGTATGATAAAATGTGTGACGTCATATTTGGCGTTATAAAATATTAAATATTATGGTGCAATACTTATTTGTATGTTTTATTTTGAAGTAATTAAGAATCTTGCATGTCATATAACAGAAATATCCATTTTATCTTCAACTAAATATCAGTTGTAAATTATATACATTCTGAAAAACAGCAGACTTTTAGCGAGAAATTTTGGCTTTTGATATACCATGTTATTAACAATGTCAAATGGCCAAAACGACGAGGCATCACATACCCTGTATTACTCTCCTGGTATATATAAAGCTTATAACACTTATCATATAAATGTGACAAGTTTCTAGATGTTCTTCGCATTGTATCTGTTTAAAAAAAATGAAAACAACACTTATAAATTTCATACGTCCGATGCGCTTTTCTGGATTTACCCTCATCAGGAACGCTCAAAGCCGAACATTTGAAAGCCACGGATATGTATAAGAATCGAAACAGTTGATTAGCTATATGACCAAATCTATCAAAGGTCAACTTTGCTTCAGAGAGTTGAAACATTAGTTACTTTATAATTTCTAAATTTATAAACCGACAATTTTAGAATGGTTTGTTATAAAGCATGCCAGTACTGAAATACTAACAATTATCTGATGATACCATCATGGACGGAAAGTATTTAAACTATGTTTTTTGTCTTTGTAGCCATCTTTGATTTCAAATGTTCAATACAATCTCAAATTAGAGGAAACACCATCATTACAGCTTGGGAAACAGTTTTATAACAGAAGGTGTCTACATTGTTTGCATGTATTTTCCCACAAAGTCCGGTATTAAACAAATATTTCCGAGTGGTAGCTATCTAGGTTGCTAGAAAATATTATTTTTTTAAAGGGCTATGATATTGTCATACCAAGTATGATTCAATTTGTTAAACGGTTTCCCAAAATAGTTTCCTTTGCAACAAAAAGTCCAGAGCATATTGTTAATCCTTTGACCCTCCGTTCGTCCGCCGGAACCACCCTTAAATGGGCACGTGTTATGCACAATTAGCTACTGTTTTCAAGATATAATCTATTATTTTGCAGAAAGTTTTACACATACAGATGGTATGAATATTGTCAGGTCTTTCTTGGACAAAATCACAAGTTGTATTTTGTTTAACTTTGACGATGTCTAGGCTTCTTCATTTCTCTCTAGCTACAGATTTCTTCTGTTGAAATTGAGAAAATTGTCAGGTCTATTCTTACCATTTAATCATTCGATATCAGCCCAGTTGTTCTGACAAGCCATTTGAGCAGTAATATGAACATTCGAGTGAAGTTCAATATCCTTTTGTTTTAAAAACAAAAAGAAAAAATTAAAACAACACGTTGTTAATTTTATACGTCCAAAGCGCTTTTTATGATTTAACTTCATCAGGAACGCTCAAAGGCGAATATTTAAAAGCCAAGAATGTATAAGAACCGAAACAGTTGAAGAGCGTTATGACCAAACAGTACATAAAAAATAGCCAAATAAGATAAAAAGTGTAGAGAAAAGTTAATTTGATCATTTTTGGTATTATTAAGGTGAGCTTAAAAACATGCAGTCATGTACAAGTAAACCAATTAGAGCACCAAAGCAATTTTGTTAAGCGGAAAATCACAAATTGAAAATCGAGAGGGTAAATCGACAAAAGACTGCCAAAAACAGACACAGAAAACCAGATCATTTTAAACAAATGTTTTAACAATATTATATAAAGTACTATCACATGTACAGGGCATTTAGGAATACGTCTTTAAATAAATAACTCTTATAGTATAATTGCAGCAAAATTAATAAACTAGAGGCAACAATGATTTACCGATGTTTAAATATTATAAATTCATTTAAAATACCAATCAGGGTAAAACATGAGACTGAGGGAATCACTTGGACTAAAAAAGGAGCGAGACCAGTTGCGTATACAGGGTAACCGTCAACTGATATGCATGCATCTGCCACCATACTAATTAATAAACAACCAGAGAAGATACAAAGGACTTATCATAGCCATAAGTTGAAGAAAGACTACCAAACAACAATTTTTAAAAGACAATACAGAAAAGAGCAACACGAAAACACCAAACAGTTCCTGCTTCATTAGTAGTTCTGTTGCTGTGACCATTAGTCTTCGTTGACAGAGCAAACCTTATCTGAATATAACCCGTACACGTACAGTATTTGTGCAAATTTGGGAAAACAGAATTAAACTGCAGGGTTTTTAAAATTCAATCTTTATATATAGCCGACTACGTTAACAACAATTATCAGCGGAAATATGTATAAATAACAAATGTATTTGATATCAAGGTTGCTGCATTAATACAACACTGCACTTAACACAAGCCTAATTTAGGCCCAAAATGTTATCCGAACAATCATATACAAATGTTTAGGATATACTTGTGATCAAGAAATGGAGAATATGTTATTATTGACTACCTTTTACTCAATTGTAATGTTAAAATTATTTTGATGTTGTGATGATATATGTTATCCCAAAATCGAAAGTTAATCAACAAGTCTGTCTTCCGAATTTTTCAATTACAGTATTCTAGCTGTTATTTGAAAAATATGTAATATTCCGTCAAAAGTGGAAACAATTCAACCATTCAGCAAAAGAATCACAAATTTTAGAAAATCTCTATATTCCAGTTGTAAATATTTTGGCTGCCCTTATCTTACCTAGCCCAATTGGCCATGTGAGTTCGCAGTCACTTGACGTCATGCGTCGCCGTAATTTAAAAATAAATCTACACCCGTGAAACCACTGGAACAGTTTAACCATTAACCTGAATGATCCTTATGATGAAAAGATTGTTTTTGACTCATAATCAAAATGGATACCAACCATTATTCAAATAGAACATGTCGAAAGGTAAGTAATAGTTGTATATTTTGTTAACTGTAACAGAGTAAATCTGACGGTGATAAACGTGCCCCGAATGTCAAGATCTAAACACTTTCCTTTTAAATCAAAATGATCAGAGGACTTCTCTTTTGAGTTATTGCCCCCGAAAGATGATTGTTGACCAGTTTTAGCGTTTTACCTATTATCTTGAAAACTAATATGTAGGCAGAAACTTAAAACAGCAAAATAAATCAGTAGTATAAGATCTACAAGATCACTCCAAAATGAATGAAACCATCGTAAAAGTTTTTTTTTTATATAAGGTAAGTCTTCAAAAAATGACGACAACTATCCCACCTTCTTTAAGATACAAATAATTTGCTTTCGTTGTTAAAACACTCTGATTGAAACAAAAAGTTCTCTGAAACTGACCTCATCTGGAAGATTGGTTGTTTTATTGACAGCATATTTGTTTTACATTTGATGGACGAGCATTTTAACAGACCGTCGGCATTCACATGGAAACAACTGTGCTACTGTTCATGCCGACTTGTTCCTTTATTCACCGGAGACTCTCTGCAAGGGCTTCTCAATGTTAATTAAAAATCTAGCGCTTTCCTTTGACTTCACGTTCCTTCATCAAGATATGATATTCTCTCACTGAATAGTTAAAGCGTTGATGACTTAGTTAATCGTATTTGTCCCCATTGAACTCGAAATATAAGATACCACCACTGGTAAATTTCTCTGACAAAATTATCTATATACCTTGATATGAGACATATTTAGATATATAGGTAATTTATTTTCAGACAAGTGCCTGTGGATACCAAAGTCAGGTTTACTCCATATGTTGACGTCAATCTTAAAATGAACGACGAGAAACGGTTACGCAGTGCACTTTATGACAAAAGAAAATTGACAATTTTAATTGTCCTATTATGAATTTTTCATTTTCACAAAGCATTCTAGCAGCAAATGAAAAATAATTCATATCTCCCAGTTGAAACGATGCGTTTCCTGTAATGATGTCCTTGAAAAGGGATTGGTGTTTACAAAAAGGGTTTAGAACGGTAAGGTTGAAATCATCTCTAATAAACCATCATGATATGGTCGACCATCATAAAGTATCTGTGTCACAGATGACCGCGTATAATTATGTTTCTCTTATAATAACAATTTTGTCCTCCTTTCTTCGTGTTACTAAGTCTTCAGCTTTATTTTGTGAGATTGTATGTCTTTTTATCGTCTATTGTTTGTTTTTCCATGACTTTGTCATTTTGTCTAGACTTATGAGTTTTAAATGTCCCCTTGTTATCTTCCGCCCTTTTTTCCACGTTTATAACATCACCGAATAAGACCAATTTGACATAAACTAACCATTCCAGGACACTTGATATCACCATCAGCTTTAGCTGGAGTTCGCGTTGCAAAACTGTTGTTTTCTGTTGGTTTTTCTTTAGGTTCTGTTGTTTTCTGTTATAATAAAATTGAGAATGGAAATGGGGAATATATCAAAGAGACAACAACCCGACCAAAGAGCACCAATGGGTCTTCAACGCAGCGAGAAAATCCCGCACCCGGAGGTGGTCCTCAGCTGGTCCCTAAATAAAATTCATAATAGCTTAATTTTGTTGTCCATATTTTTGTTTGTCTATTGGACTTGTAGCGTGTAAATGACATCTTTTTTTCGTTTTTCGAGTTAAAAGCAGCGAATGTTCTACCTATGACACCATAATAGATTGGTAGAGTTTCTTGTATAATCGTAAAACATTGCACTTTCAAAATCATTGGTACATAAAACCACTTATTTATAACCAAACCTGAAAGTTTGAAAATTTTAATACAAAATTAGTTCAAAAACATAAAAATGGACAATAACATAGATATATATATATATAAAAAAAAACGTCAATGAAAAAACAAACACCCTAAATATCACAAAACCACTTTATGCAAGATAAGGTTACCCGAATCGTATCTAAATTTACGGGCTCGAAAAACATCGCTCTAAAATTAAGAGAGATATACGGGTATACAGCCAAAACCAATTTTCATATCTATGAAAGAATTTAGTAAAGGTTTCTTTGTGGTAACGAAATCCCCAACTTTAATAATTTAATAGTAATACAAAGATTACGTTCATTGAAATCTAAAACGTCCCTTGACACGGACATGACGAGTTGGGATACTAGCATGTAAATACCG